TGAGCCTGTCAAGATCTGCCTGGATCACCCTCCTATCCTCAGGTGTGGATGCTTTACCCCAGAGTTTGGTGTTGCCAGCAAACTTGGCCAACCTGCTTATGACACCAATGTCCACATCACTGATGAAGATGTTAAACAGTATAGGCCCTAGGACAGCCTTGAAGGACCCCACTGGTGACCGCGCACCAAGACGACTGGCTTCCATCCACCACCACCCTCTGGGTCCTACCGCAGAGCCAATTCCCCAGCCAGCAGATCGTGGTGAGGTCGAGGCCGCAGTTGGCCAGTTTTGCCAAGAGGGGAACATGGGATACCAGATCAAAGGCTTTTTTGAGGTCAAGATATATGATATCAAGCTCTTCCCCCATGTCCAGGTGATAGGTTACCTGGTCATAGAAGGAAATGAGATTGGTCAAGCAAGACCTACCGGCAACAAACCCATGCTGGGTATCCCTCGGGATATTGCCGTCAGCTAGTCTGTTAAGGATGGCCTCTTTGATAATGTTTTCCAAGACCTTCCCCAGGATAGAGGTCAGGCTGATGGGCCTGTAGTTTGCCAGATCTACTTCCCTCTCTTTCTTGAAGATAGGCACAACATTGGCCTTCTTCCAACCATCGGGCACTTCACTAGAGCACCAGAAGCTCTCAAAGATCCGTGCCAGGGGCTGAGCTATGATGCTTGCCAGCTCCTTCAGTACCCTTGGGTGTAAACCATCAGGGCTGGCTGACTTGAAGGTATCCAGCCTGTCAAGGTGTTCCTTCACGAGGTCAGCATTGACGGGGGGTAAGGAATCTCCCTCACCTGGGCCTCCCTAACCCACAGTGGTGCTGTACGTGCGTTCCAGGAAAACAGCACGTAATTCGAATTCCCATAAAGGGAACCCACTTTACAATGTAACAAATAGGGATATGTTCCAAGACCTTGACTGTACTGACCCCCAGACCCATTTCTACCACTTTTACAAGACAATTTTGGTACTCGCCAACAGCAGACAGTACATACAAGCACAGGATGCTATCATAATGGGGATGGCAACTACAGACACGCGTGTCACAGACAGTGACCGAAGAGCACAGATCCACACAGGAGACTATATTTTAATATGCATCACTCCCACCATGCACCACACAAAGCAGTTGACTGCAGGCTTCCACCGCACTAACTGCATAAGAGTGAATTTACCTTGCATGTAACGAGTTTTTGGTATAAAAAGGGTCATCACATAAGAGCAAATTCGCATGTACAGAACCCGCAAAGGAGGGAAACCTGTATGCCTAGGCAGGTGTATGGAGAATTGGATGCTGACCAGACCTTCCATCTCCTCCTTTAAACCATTGAGACAGAATCCATAGGCCAGACCGAGTCCGGGCATTCAGTGCCTCGATGGTTGTCATTATGTGTGTGTCCAGGAATCAGACCCACGTCTCCCACATGGTGAGCACAGAGTCTGCCAATGGTAAACATACAATAACAATCTTGGGATACTGTGCCCTAATTTTTACATTAAACAACAAAAAATAGTTTACGGAAGTTATTTGCATGACAAATGCAATGTGGAACACTTGCCTGATGTAGAAGTGAAAAGCAGTTTGCCAACATAAATTAATTCTAATTCTACTTTAGATACTGTACTTTAGTCTATGTAAGTGTATTCCTACTCCCACAATTAAAAACAAGTTAGACAATTTTAGCTATTATGGACTGTACTAAGGTAGTGTGCTTACACTACTAGTTTATATGACAAGGCTTCCAAAATGTTTTATGCTTATGTTTACCCTGCAAATCACTGCAGTAATTCCATCATGGCTGATATGGGTAACAAGGAGTACCAACATGTTGCAGAATAGCTGAACACCAGAATAAAAAGAAAACATTAATCAGAACAAGTATGATTTATGGATATTTCATCACTCTTACCAAAAGAACAAAAATATCACGACATTCTGGTGTTCAGCTGGGGGTTTGGGATTTTTTTTTTTTTACCAGGTCAACTGCTCATGGAAACAGCAAAGGAGCCTTGTCAGGCTACAGTTAGTAAATGACTGACCAAGGACCAGAAGACAAGCCATAAAGAAGATAAATCTACTCTTCTGCAATCTCAAAAATGAATTGATTAACAAGATCTTGATTAAAGTAAAGATTACCAAATGATTAACAGACTGGGGTCAGACACCTAAAAATAAAGAGCTTTAGCTATGGGATGCACTGATAGAGATTTTTGGGGAGGCCGATACCGACAGCTGATTATTAATGAGCCATATAGGCCGATACTGATCCGATTGCCGATATGCAGCCTGGCAACTTAGACAGCAGCATCTGGCTAGCTAGTCTGTTGGGGATGGGTGGGGGCAGGGAAGGGGTATGGGGGTACAAATTGAGGCCCCTGCGGTGAGGGAGTGAGGTTGGGGCTGGAGCTTCCCAGCTAGGGCAGAGCAGAACTGGAGCCATGAGCAGCTCATCCAGGGGGTGTCAGGAGGTGGGGGGACAGCTCCCGCAGGGGCCTGGATCTGCCCACCCCCACCCCTTCCCTCCAACAGACTTACCAGATGGATGCTGCTCTCCAAGCTGCCCAGCTCACTGTGTGCATGCTACGGCCGTGCATACACATGCGGCATTTATCCACACTCATCAGCCATATCAGCCAAAAAAAGCCAATTGCCAATGATGCCAATTTTCCTTGCATTGGTGCCAATATGATATGGACCAATGCACAGGTGTGCCTTTACTTAGCTAAGTTGATCCCTTGACCCCTTTTCCAGGGCCACTAAAATCTGGTTCCATCCAGTTCAAAAAGTTCCAGTGAAACAAAGATATATATATAAAACCAATCAGAGATCAATTATTAGCACATCAAATCAACCATCTATAAATACGGGCCTGGCAACAAACTGGAGCTTTCCCAAAGCTCAGCAGGAAAAAACCAACTGAGCACAATTCCCCAGGAAAACAGAGATGCCCAACCAGTAGACCGTTCTTCCTGAACCCAAGGCTGTGTAAGCATTGCCTTTATTAGTACCAATAAGTCTTTGCTATTGTGTATCCTAATAAAGCTTTCGAGTTGCGACTAGAATGGTCTCATTGATCAATCAATCTTGCTCCTCACCCCAAGTCCAATCCAAAGGTAACAGACTCCACCTGCTAACCGGACTGTACGCACAGAGCCAAGATCAGTCAGTCTCCAGACGTCTTTGCTCTTACGATGAAAGAGAAATTGAGGATCAGTACAAGATGTTCTGGATTAAGAAGGAAGTGGATGATCGAGACCTCCTCTATAATTAGACACAGGAAGGTGATTACCCGCGTCTTCCCTGCAACTAACATCTCCATAAAGTAGACTCCAGGGGATTCAGTTGAACTCCATGCTCATCCCAAGGCACAAGGCTGTCACACAGATGACTGCTCTGTTTATTTTAGTGCGCTTTATCATCAACCAATTTAAAACAGAGTAAGTCACAGCATACCCTAATCTCAGGGGAAGTTCTCTCTCACAACTCCCGTTAAACAGGACAGTGTTATTTTTCCCTTTTAAAGATGAGACAATGGAGACGGAGAAGAGTTACGCGATAGGGGAGCTCGCCGAGCAACTGTTCCCCAGGGCACCCGAGGGGAAAGCCAGGAGTAACGGCCACAAACTCCGGCAAGACCGATTCAGGCTGAACATTAGGGAAAACTTTTTCACAGTTAGCGTCCAGACTGTGGAGTCAGCTCCCGCCAAAGGCGGTGCAATCGCCTACCCAGGAGATCTTCAAGAGGAAACTGGACAGTCCCCTCGCTGGGGTCACCCGACCCCCGTCGTCTTTCCTGCTTGGAGCAGGGGGCTGCACCCCACCATCTGCTGAGGTCCCTTCCTCTGAACCGATGAATTTCCCAAAGTCAGCCTGTCAGAGCCCGAATCCAAGCGGGACTAGCGAGCGCCTCTGCGCTCACACCAGGGCTGCTCCCACTCCCACTCCCCCTCACCAACACACAACGCGCCTGCAAGCGCACACCGGCGCTCCTCGACTTCTGTCGGCCCCCCTGACAGGCCCGAAGCACCCTCCGGCAACGCCAGCTCTCCCCGTGTTTTGTGTCCGGAAAAATACCACCCCAGAGCCGCAAAGCAGCGGCGAGAGACCACGACGGGTCCGCCCCTGCTCCAGCCGACGGGGCGGGGCACCCCAGGGCACCCCGCGGGAAGCGCCGGGGACCGAGGCCGACTCTGCAGGTACCTGCCCCTCGGCGCCGCCTGGGGCCGGGCCGGCCCCCCCGGGGCCCCCGGCCTCCGCCATCCCCTCCTCCTCCTCCTCGCCCTGCAGCCCGGGGGGGCGCCGCCAGCACCCCGCGGCCGGGCACAGGGACCGGGCGGCCACGTTCTCGCGAGACGTCGTGGAGGGTGGCGCTGGAAAATGACGTTAGGCGCCGAGGGCGGGGAACAGCCTTCACTGGC